TTACGTTTTGGGCCTCAAAACCCAACTCGAAGCTCGGCCCAATTTTTCCCAAAATTACCCTCTCAATTGCCCCTTAATCCCATCTGTGCAACATTGATTGGGATTACCAGCCTCTGGCCGAGCTAGAGTTTGTTACGCTTTTTTCAGCCGAGCTAAAAACCCTTTAGCCTTTCCAGCCGAGCTAAGTTTACCTCGGGTATCACTATGTCCGGTCAAAACGTCTCTTCAATCACAGCGACTGTAACGGTTCCCATTCCAGTGACACGTGGCAAGCTCTGATAAGCTGTGGCCAACTGTCACGCCGTCCTTCAGAATTTTTGTACTGTTCCCGCTTCTTTTTGCCGCCTTTTTCTCTCTCCCTTTTACACAAAACAGCCCTTTCGATTCTGGAATCATTCACTCTACTGTTTTCATCTTCTTTCTGTATCTCTACTTCTTCCATACTCGAGCTTGTGTTGAGCTTGTGTTCTTTTCTTGCTGCCACCGTTTCCGACTCCAGTCTTCTTTCTCTCTTCTCTGGTAAGAAAATCTAACCATCTTGCGATTTTTTGTTTGTTTTACCATTCGTTTCTGTTTTGTATGCTTTTTGCAAATATTTTTCTCCATTTGTCTGCTTTGCTTTCGTACTTTTATGAAGAAACCAGTAGAACTCCATGTATGCATGAACTATCATGTAGAAAACCAGTCTTAGATCCAAAATCCTATTGCAACCGAACTAGGATCCTGTTTGCCCCAAATATGTAGATTTCTGTAGTTAATAACCGAACTAGAACTTGTAGGAATATCAGTAGTTTCTTCTGAACCATTCTAGCCAAGATAAGATCACCAAACAAGCTTGCACATGCCGAACTAGTTACTTCGGTCTATAACCGAGCTAAGCTTTCGGGGCCAAGCCGGCTTTCTTAGTTCTTAAACCGAACTCGGAAAGCCGCCCCTAGAGTCTTAACCGAAGTAATTTTATTCACACTGCAACCGATTTAGGCCTTGGGGCTAAACCAGCTTTCTCAGTTTCTTAGACCGAACTCAGAAAGCTGCCCCTAGACGTTTAACCGGTCTATCGAGGAAACTACTCAAACCGAACTACCAACCCTTTTGATGAACCGAAATAGAGCCAGCTTTTTGAGGCCGAAGTAGGGCTTTTATACCTTGCTTTTGAATTGTAGCACGGTCCATTGATCAGTGCTTTAACCCCCTCTGTTTTTTACCTTGCAGACTTAGGTTACCCAGGCACTCCTGCGTGCCCTCAACCGAGCTTCTGAGCACGATTATTGCACCGAAATAACTTATTCGTTAAATTATACAACAAATGGGTAAGTATAGGTATTTAGTTGAGACCCCGGGCGGCCTAGCCGAATTTAGAAAAGATTACCAAATACCTGACGACGTCCAGCTGGTTCTGGCCGAAAAAGGCATCACACCCTGGGAAAATGAAGGCTTTGTCCCATTTACTCTTCAATCCATAATAGAAACCGGACTACGGTTTCCTGTCCCACCACTGATCTGTGAGTTCCTTAGGCAGACTAGGTTATGCCCCACCCAGCTGTCCACCAATACATACCGTATTATTATGGGCATAGCGGCACTAAACCACCAAACCGGTTTAAACCTTGGCCTTGCCGAAATATTCCATCAGTATTCCATCGGCTCGAAAGATGCTGGGTGGGTCTATTACCTTAGGATCCGCCGCCGCCGAGAGAAGATAATTAAGCATACACCGGACAAAGACCTTAACGATGATGACTTCTTCTGGGTCTCTGGGAATTTTGAGGATTTTCATGCCCAAATTCCTAGCCGACCTATAAATTGGAAAATGGGAGAGCCTGGTAATTTAACTTCGGTCTTCTTTTTTTCCTTTTCTTTTGTGAGATGATTGAACTTGAGTTACATGTAGTTTGATCTGAAAGGTAACATTTCTCGTGTAGCATTAGATTGGAAAATAATTGTTAGGATAATTGCAAGAATAATTTCTAATACATTGAATACTTAGAGAAGAAAATTAGAGAAATAGTCAGATTAAAACATTTCAAATTTGGTGCAGGTTTATGTCTATATAACGTAATATTAATCTATGTGAATATGTTAAAAAAATTAATTGAAAACATTTGATGGATTATTCATGATACATAGTTTTCCTTGTCACCATTATGATTTAATTACTTTTTCATTTATATACATAATATTTATATCAAACATATATGTCTATATCGTGTCATACTCATATCCTGCATCCTGTGTCTGTTTCTTTGCGCCCCTTTGTGTTACCTGGGATATAATATTCGGATTATGTCTTTCAGTTCTAATGGATGACCATAAAGAAGCTGAAGCCATAGCAGAGCTCTCAAAGGCCATAACTTTCAAGACAGATCTACAGCTGTTCCATCTTCGGGCAGCATTCCATGACTCTATAGGTGACTATGCTTCCACAATCCAAGATTGTGAGGCAGCGCTCTGTCTCGATCTGAACCATTCAGATACACTCGAGCTTTATCATAGAGCACGGGAGAGGGCTAATGAACAACTGCAGAAGTAGGGAGATAGTGCATATCTGTGTAGCTCTTCCACAAATCCTCATTTGGGCAACTCGAATGCGTGTCTGAGAATTAAGGAACAAAAAGGCAAATTACACTTTGCCCTCTTTATCTTTCATTATTTTTTTACTTTGATATCTTAAGTTTTTTTTTTTTTTACTTTTTGATCCTTTATATTTTAATTTTTTTAATTTACTCTTAAAATTAATTTTTATTTAAAATTAGGTAAAAAAAATATCATATTAATTGTCACATAATATAAAAAAAAATATGATTATATTAAAGTTAAAATTTGTGTCGAATGTAAGCCTTGTTTGGGAAGTGACTATAATAGTTAAAAAATCATTACAAATTATTATATTATTTTTTAAAAAAATTTAAAATATATTTTTTGATAAAAAATTAATTAAAATAATCAATTTCCAAACCAATTCTTAATATCTCACTTTATGTGGTGTTTGATAAAGTTGAAAACTGAACATTAAAAATTAAGTACTGAAAACTAAATGTTGAATTTTTTAAGCTAAAAAACAATTTGATAAAAAATTAAGTGTTGAACTAAAAATTAGTTGTTTGAATTGAATAAAATCAAATTTAAAATTTATTATTTTTAAATTGTATATTTCAATTTTTATATTGTGATTGTGGTGTCGGTAGTGATAGTGGTGGTAGTGATAGAATCGATGGCGGTGATGGTTGTAGTATCAGTAGCAATAGTAGTGATAGTAAACTAATAGTGGTGCTTATGAAAACAATAACAATAGTGATGAAAGTGGTGGTAGTGGTGTTGGCATGATGATGGTGACGGAGCGACGGCAACGGCGGAAGTGGTAGTCATGGCGGTGGCATGATTTTAGGGCTAAGTAAGGAATTCATAAAATCCGTAATCCGATCTAGTCCAGTCCACTCTAGTAGGTTTGGATTGATTTTTTGAATCCATAATTCGGTTTTGGATTGAAAAATTAAAAATCCATAGTCCATGGATTGGTTCTGGATTGGAACCGATCCGAATCGTATACAAATAGCATATATTTATGTTATACACCCTCCCACTTAGTATCTTCTCTTATTCCATGTAAAATCTAAACCCGCATAGTATCTTCTTTTATTACTTTTGTTTATTGGTTTTTAATTTTAATTTGTAATAGTCTAAATACTTATGACAAAACCAATTTTCTTTTAGTTATTTAAATTTTAAAATAGTATTTCGTTATTATGAAAAGACATATTACTATTGTGAAACTAATATAATTTTATCTTTATATTTTTATGAAATTAAAATGCTCTATATATATTTTTTATTATTTAATTATGTAAATTCATAGTCCTAAACCAATCTAATCCTTATTTAAATGGATCAATTCGGATTGATTCCACAATTTAAAACGATTAAATTGGTTTCAATTTTTCAGGAAGCGTAGATGACGGATTGATCCTGATTTCACCTCAATCCAAACTAATCCTGACCATGCTCATCTCTATATGATGGTGGTGATTGTAGTGATAGTGGCAACGACAGTAATGAATTTATAATAGTGTATATTGATATTTATATTTAATATTTTATAAATTCAATCAGAATTAAATAAATTTCATATGATTCAAATTTTTTTTTTAAAGTTTTAGCTTATATTTTAAAAGACAATTAAATTTTTAAATGATATTAATTATGATTACCAAATAAATTTAATTGATTATCACTTAATACATTTATTTTTAAGTGTTGAATCAGATTATCAAATATCTCTTACTCACATTTAAATATTTCACAAAATGACTTGCTAGGATCTCGAAATATACTATTGAATAGAATTTTTCAAAAACACTTTTCAGAAAATTTTACATTCTTATTTTTCGTGTTTTTTTTATCTTTACTGAATTTTTTTAATATTTTAAGTAATTTTTTCAATTTTTAGACATACCTAACATAAATATATCTAAAAAGTAAAAATTTTGTGAAAAAAATACCTTTTAAAAATTCACTAAATACTAAAAATACAAAAAAAAACCAAAAAAAAAAAAAAAAAAAAAAAAAAAACAAGAGTTCAATACATTTTTTTGTATTTATTAATTTTTTAAAATATTTTTTTACGAAATTTTTACTTTTTAAATACATCTAAATAAGATGCACTTAAACTAAACGCATATATTTTTTTTTCACTATTAACGAATGTGCAACTGGCATCAATCAGAAATAGTTAAAATTTTAATATGTGGTCCCTACCCCCCTCCAATTATTAGGATAAAGATAAACCCATGTAACCCAGGTAACTTCTTCGAGTATTCTTGTCTTATATTCCTCAAACCATTGGCGTAGCTGACGCGGATCCCAGTTATCTCAAAAACATAAAATGCGAAAACAAAACGTTTTTTAAAACAAAAAAGTGTGGGTCCTAATCTCTCAACCAATAGGCAAAACGCGGCGAGTTGTTCATCCAAATCTCCTCCACTATAAATAAAAACCTTCGTAGGTTTTTTATCTCCAAGCTCAAATTACTCCAAAAATGAGTAACACAAAAACCACCTCCAAAGCTCCGATTACTCGCCGGAACTCAGGCGAGTCCGACAAGTACTCCGGTGAATCCGAAAGCCCGGGTCTCATGATTTTTGAGTTTTTGGAGGACAATGAAAAGTCGCCGGACAGTTCGTGCAACTCCGGCAATAGCTTCGACATTGACGACTTTGTCGAAAACGATGACGAGGAAGATGAGAATTGTTACGATGGTGAAGGCAACACCAACAGGGCCTTTTGGGAGTCTCAGGAGCAGCTTCTCCAGGTAAATTTTCATCTTCCGTAAGGGTAATTTTGGTATGAAATGAACCTCAAAAATGTTTGTAAAATTTTTAACAAATTTGGGTTTTTTTTTTCATTTGCAGGCGACATTGCGTAGAAGTACCTCTCTTGAATCGAAAATTAGGCAAGCCACGAAGGATGCTTTGAGGGAATTGAATTCGGAGGGTGTTGGTTGCGTTTGTCGGAGACCGGTGTCGGATAATTGCCGGAATTGTATGCAAAATGAAATCTCGAATCGGCTTCGAACTGCAGGTCATAATTGTATCATTTGCAAGTCCAAGTGGAAGGGCTCTCCAGATATACCCTCAGGTAAATAGATATCCAGTTTATTTATTTATTTATTTATTTTTTTGAGATTTTCTTGATAAATTTTAGATTATGAGTTTGGGAGTGTTTTGGAATTGGGCTTTTAGCGCTTTTTTTTTTTTTTTTTTCCTGCCTTTTTATGAGAAGATATACAGAAAAATAAAGAAAAACAATTTGACAATTTATAATGATAATAAAAAGTCTACTACCCAAACATGATCACTATGCTCAACTCAACAAGGACGGGGTAATGGCGGTGTTTGGCAAGATTTTGTTTTGGGTTTTTTTTGATTTTTTTCACTAATAGGCAAAGTTTTTGAAAAAAAAAAAAAAAAAAAATCCAAACAAAATATTACATCCAACTCTATGATCATTTTATTTTTTTTCTTACAAACATCACATCCAACCACAAAAAATCCAACTATCTTTCCAAACACCAAAAAAAATTTCCTCAATAATATTCTACAACTAAAAAAACCTACATAAAAACTCATTTCCCAAACACCCACAATGAAATATAATAAATAATTTATAAAATTACCAAAATACCCTTGTTGCTGTCTTTACAGAGGACTTTGTTTTTGGTTTTCTATAGGAGAGCATACCTATTTGGAAGTGATGGACAATACAAGTTCAAAGAGAGGAGAGACAATAAGGGTGGTCATTGAGCTGAATTTTAGGGCTGAATTCAAGATGGCGAGAGCTAGCGAAGAGTACAACCACTTAATCCACCAGCTACCCGAAGTGTTTGTGGGGAAAGCCGAGAGGTTAAGAGCCCTAATCAAGATATTGTGTTATGCAGCCAAGAAGTGCATGGAAGCTAAAAAGATGCATATGGCTCCCTGGAGGAAGCATAAGTACATGCAATCTAAGTGGTTTGGCAAGCATGAGCAAATCAATAGTACTAATAGTACACTAGCACCAATCATGCCAGTTAAGCATTTAGACCGGCCACCAAAGCAGAGGGCCTCCATGCTTACCTTTGATCTGCTAGAGAATATGCCTAGTTTTCATTGTAGTGCTGCTATTAGAGTTGTTTGATGATGAAGAAAGTTTTGCTACTCAGATCAGTTTTGTCCTTCAGATTATGAATATTACATTGTATATTTGCGAGATAAGAGCTTTTGAATGTCCCAAAAATAAGTGGAGTAATCTTAATGAAAGAGTCTTTGTAATGGTGAGCCCACAATTCCATGTGTACGGTTATAATTATTTTTTGTAGTTAATGTTGTGGTTGGTTTTGTTTTGAGACTTGTTGATATCTCAATGTTAAAAAATCAAGGTCTAATTGAGATTGTTGTTTTGGAGATATTTCAAAGGTTTGTGTCTATTGGGGAAGATGCTGAAAGAGAGAAATTTGATAATAATGATTTGGTCATTTGAATTTGAATAGTGGTACTAGCCTAGGTACCACAGATGGTTAAATATTTTGGAGGTTTATTGGGTCCGATGCAAGGATTGGCGAGATGCCATAGCTTTTTCCTATAATCAAGTGGGCCTTGAACCTCATCCTCTTTATCCGAGAAGGAAATGGAAGAATAAAAAATGCAAAACATGTTCGACCTTTCAAGACATTTGGCCTCAATTTGTTCATCTCTTTTACGCCAGTTAGTTACTTGTCCGGTTGCATTCTTGATCCCCTTCTTTTTTCTTCGCTTCTCTTGGTTGGGACACCGATTCTCTCATTTTTTTGCTTCTATTCTCCTGGGCTGGACCCTATTCATTTGAAGGGAATTCACTCACTACCCTGTTTCTTACAAACTTGCTTTGTAGTATGTTATTAGAAGAGGGGCATGCAATTTGGAATGTTCAAAAGTCTATCCATTTTCACATCTCTTGGGCTTCCGAAAAGTTTCAACCTTAATTTCTCAAGGTTCACCATATCTCAAGACAAGATTAAAGGATTTGGGAAATATCATATTAATCTTGGATTGTAACACAATTCCAAGAAAAAGTGAGCTTAGTCCTAGATTCTGCAGCTGATTGTGTACAAAGGCCAGCATATATTGCTAGCAACAAAATTCAAAGCTCTTTATCATCCATAGCTTATATAAATTTATTCAAATTTATACACTAGAGAACTCTTGCTTCTTTAATTGGACTTTCAAAAACAAGTTTTTAATTATCAAAAGTTTTCCACCAAAGTGCTAAAGGGCCATTTTCAATTACCTTGTTTAACTGTTTCATCATCTTTAAAATTAAAGATGATGAAAACCAAACTAATGGAACGACTCTGTTTTTGTAATTTGTAGGAGAGGCTCCTAATAGCTGGTTTCTTGCCAACTGTTTTTCTCCTCTCACTTTTCTCTGTAATGTTTTACTCATTTATAAATAAAACATTACTTTTTGCCAATTGAAATTCATATTGAGCAAGAAACAAAAATCTGTTTTTTGTTTTTCAAAATTTTGATCTTTCAAAATAAACCTGTGTTTTTTCATCATTATTTATAGAGCAACAACAAATTCATACATAATGATATGACTTATTGTGATGAATTTATTTATAATTATGACATTATTAGGATGACTATTAGTTCAATGGTAAAATCTTGACCTGATAACCTTGAAGGTTATGGGTTTAAGTTACGGGACAACCATTGTGTACTATACCAAAAGTTATGTGCTTACCTAATATTTTCTCTTTCAAACATACATTAATATGTACTAACTGAGCGTTGTTTTTTCATGGCATTACCACATCATTCTTATTATTTTTTTGTATGAATTTTATATAGAATTAGAATTTTCCTTTAATATATATTTGGAGAATCCAAAACCACAAACTTATTGTATGGCTCCTTATACCTAGGGACTTTATTTAGGGACATCTCAACCACAATTTTTGCAGGGGCCACTTAGCCCCAACTAGACATCACAAGATCTTAAACTCAAAATTAAACAGATCATCAACCAATAATAAAAGAAAATTTATAAATTTGTGGAAATAAGAAAAAATAATTTTTTTTAAAAATGACGATATAAGATGCATTCGGACTGTGTAATCTTTATTTGTAAGGAGAATAACAAATCAGTGTATATTTTGAAAAAAAAAATTCAGATTAATGATAAACTTTACAAACTTTAATTATTAAGAATATAAACTTTTTCATGTGTATGTAATTATATATTTGGAAGTACATCCAATTTGTAATTTCTCCTTATTTTTATCAAAGCACAAAAAATATTCAATTGTGATAGAGACCCCCACACATACATGACCCTTACAAACCCCACTCTCATCCCAACCACTCATAATATATGACCTACACATATATGCGTGAATCTCATACACACATCAAGAGCCAAAATCAAATTTGAGGTCATGGAACTCCCAAAAAAGAGGGTCCCAAACATTTCTAAAAAATATTTATATTTTTACAATTATTTTTATTTATTCTCATTGATTTGCAATTCCCTAATAATATAAAATTATCCTAAAAAAAAAAAAACTACACGACAAACATAAGTTGGGATTTGCAAGGAAAGAGTTATTGGATCACACATTGAATTCCATGAAAGGAGATACACCTACGAGACATTTTCCTTATGTCAATTCTATGCATTCATTTCAAACATCATTTGATTGGATTATACCACTAACCCCTACTTTCACTTTTCTTTTTCTCTTTTTACTGTTTTACAAAATTTGAAATAGTGCAAAATAAGCACAAAAATACCAGTTTATGCAAAACCATTATTCAAATGTACTTTTAGCAAAGGAGTGGGAAGAGTTCTTTTTTTTTTTTTTTTTTAAAAAAAAAAAGGAAGGGAAAGGTGAAAAGTGAAAAGTGGGTATTGGTGGGGGTACATTATCAAATGATTTTGAAATTAATACATGCAATTGAGAAAAAGTTCAAAAATATAATTTTCTTATCTCCTTTCATGGAATCAATGTGTCATCCAATAAATTTTTCGTAGTGGTAAACCCAAACATTTGTTTGTGGTGCTGTTTTAATAAGGATAAGTTAGTTTATTATTAGTCCATAATCTATTCCGAGATTAAGATCTTGTCATCATATCTATGTGGAATATTGGCATCAACTTGGCTAAATCACCCTCCAAAGATATATAAATCAGCTGAGATATATATATCCCTTATTAAGTTGTTATTTGATACAATTAAAAATTGAAAAAGTTGGGCTATGTTGCTAATATTCTATTTTCTGTTTAAATAGAATAGGAAACAATTCTTATCCTCATTTGTAGATTTATGCAAATAATACTGAACACCCCCCTCTTGAAAAAGAAAAAAAAAAAAACCCCTCTCTCATGATGATAAAAAAACACAAAGGGTTAATGCCAATGGTTATTTTGAAAGATCACAAGTTGAAGTAAAAAAGAGAGAAAAGACGTCATTCTTTGCTCAACATGAATTTCAGTTACCTTTGAATTGGTTAGGTTTTTCCTTCTTGCTCAAACATTGTCACTTTGGTATTCCTGTTGAATATCCCAAAAAAAAAAAAGGGACAAACCCCAAAGTTAGCTTTAGCTAAATGGGAAAAAAAACTATGAATAAGTCCGAGTCACTGCATAGTTGGCATGATAACATTGCAGCCTTTATCACTTAGGGCTCTTTTGGGAACAATGGTAAAGAGCCAAAAAGTTGGCTTTTTAGCTTTTTTTAGCAAAAAAAACCAACTTTTTTACCCAAAACAACCCAACTTTTTGCCAAAAAAGCCACTAAAAAAGCCAAAAAGCCAAAAAGTCAGCTTTTTACCAACTTCCCAAAACACCCCTTAGTATGTACTGTAGAATTATTTATAGATGCGACTAAAATACAATTATATAATTCATAAATAATGATATGATTTAATATAAATTATTCACTTTAAAACAAAACACTCACAAAGAGACATTTGTTTACCAAAATAGAATTATCACATCATTTTCGTGATATTTTTTTATATAAATTTTATGTATAGATAGTATTTTCCATTATGTAATTCATCAATACCACAATTTTGAGCTTTCCCGTAGTAGTATCACATGATGACACTATTATAACTTACGGTGGTGTTACATGCACCAATTAGTGTACACATTAGTGTACCAACTAGTGTTATGATATTATTATTAGTCACATTTATTATATAAGTTATAAAAATCCAAAATCATAAAAATGATGTCATATCATTTGTTAGTACACTATTGTGTACATTAATTAGTATATAGCATTATTCTATAACTTATACTCGAATACTTATGAGTTCTTTCTGCCTTCTCACTTTCTACTATTCTTTGTAATAAATTTATCATTATTTGTAATAAATTACAACTAAAATCCCATAAAAAAGTGATAACTCCTAAATCCCCCAAAAAGAAAAACACAATCTCCATAATTTATTGATTTAATCCATTGGTTTGTCCAAACTCATTATTATCACATTTGGTTTTTGGAATAGAAGTGGAGGTCCTACTTGCATTCACAAGCCCAAACATCAGTGCCATGTGGCAATTGATTGCAATGAGTTGTTGTGGATACGCGTAATTACTAGTCATCACATTTTTTAATAAATTTTTAATTTTTAAATTCAATCCTACCAACTTTAAACATGTTAAAATACACTATCGGTCCCGAGTGTCTTCCAAGCATATCCAGAACAAATTCTAGAGCAGATATGATTGGCTAAGCTGACTTGGTATACTTACCCCAAAAAAAAAAGCTGACTTGGTATCTACCTGTCCAGTCTGTAACCCAACCTTTTTTACTATTTTTAGTTTAATAATCTTATGCCACGCCAGAAAAACCACTTGCCATGATTGCGGAAACTTGTTGGTCCTCCAGTCTTAATATAAATATGTTAACCATCGACTATTGACTCTCCAAAAAAACAGAGGTGGATAAAGGTCTAACGATAGCAGAGTCCATGGCTAGAGCAACCGTGAAAATCCCCATTAATCGCCTGAATTCTGATGAGGCTGTTAAATATTGTGGCAGACAAGAAAGTGTGGTTGATCTGATTTTCGGGATTTTAGAAGAGGGTGATGTGTCCTCGGATAGCTCTTGCAATTCCTGCAATAGCAGTAATTATGGTGGCAGCCTAGATGATATGGATGTCGATGACGAGTCGGTGGATAATAATGTCAATAGTGTTGAGGAGGACAAGGCTTTTTGGGAATCTAAGGGCCAACTTCTCCAGGTAAATTAATTTTTCATGCCTGGAAAAGGGTACTTTTGGTATGCAAATTACTTGTTCATCAGGACATATAAAGTTGTCAAATATTGAATTAACATATGATCCATTTTTTTGCAGGAAGCCTTGTGTAGGACAACTTCAATTGAAACAAAAATCAGGAACGCCACAAAAGAAGCTATGAGGGAATTAAGTTTGGGCGGTATTGCTTGCACTTGTCGAAGACCGACGACCGAGAGTTGTCAAAATTGCCTACAAAGAGAAATTTCCGACCGCCTTCGAAAGGTCGGCTACAACTGTGCCATTTGCAAATCTAAGTGGAGGAGCTCACCAGATATCCCCAAAGGTACATAACAATGTTCCTCCCACCTTAATGATCACTTATATGTTAACCGTATAATTATTTTGAAGGTTACGTGCTAATTAATCATATATTGTGTTACTAAATAGTTTCATATATTGTGTTACTAAATAGTTTGTACATTATTTTTCAGGGGAGCACACATATTTGGAAGTATTGGACAACTCTAACTCAAAGAAAAAGGAACTAAGAGTTGTTATCGAGTTGAATTTTAGGGTCGAGTTTGAAATGGCCAAAGCTAATGAGGAATACAACCGATTAATTTTTCGGTTGCCTGAAGTGTTTGTCGGTAAGCCTGAGAGGTTACAGGCCCTAATTAAGATATTGTGTTCAGCAGCCAAGAAGTGCATGAAGGATAAAAAGATGCACATGGGTCCATGGAGGAAGCACAAATACATGCAGGCTAAGTGGTTCGGCGAGTGCGAGAGAACAGTACCACTAATCCTATCAGGTGGATTTTCAGGTCAATTGCCTAAGCCGAGGGCCTCCATGCTAACCTTCAACTTGATAGAGAACTTGCCTGTTTTGAAATGTACAGCAGTTAATTGAAGTTGTGTGATCGCTGTGATGAAAAACAAGTTTTGTCTCTCTGTTAATACGTTTTGTCTTATGATGTTGCACTTTGATTGCTTGAGCCGTTGGGGCTTAGATTCACGGCTATCCTCTAGCGAACATGTGCTAGCTCTCTTCAAGTTTGAGTTGTACTTTTGGAATTTTGGCGTTTGTGGGTGAGCTTGAAGTAAAGAGGCCAAGGATATAATTGAGATAATGTACAGTATTCAGTTCAAAAAAGAAAAAGAAAAAGAAACAAAAGACTACGTACAGCATTGAATCATGTAAATCTATGTTTTAATATTTGATAAGGGAACATCAAACCAAGGGAAATCATCACTTGTAATATTTAAAACCATCAAATTTTGAAATGAAACAATAACGAATATAAACATAGAATAGTTCAACAATCAAGTCATCCAACATTATAGAAGTAGAAATCAAGATTTCAAGACAACCAAAATAATAATTGTAGAGTGTTAAAATTCAGTGTCATCAATGAATGAGGTAATAAATAAAAAATTCATACATTATCAAGATGTTGTTAAGAGCATGTCTAGATAAATACACAGAAACAGAAATTAGAAAATTATATTCAGAATATACAATCTAAGGTCAAGATGATAAATTTTGGGTTTTCTTTTATGTGTTGATAAATTTTCTCACAATTCCTTCCCTTATCTTCTATCCCCACCCAACTCCCCCATCATTACAGCACTGTCACCAACCACCAACACTATTAACTATTTATTTTTATTTTTTTGGGTGCAACTATAACTATACCTATTATGTTGACCATTGAATGCATCATAGAGGGAGTGAAAGCAATCTTTCAAATTAGGTTCTGTATGTGCCATCTCTCAGGCATTATCTCAAATACTTGAGATGCATATCAAGTTAAATAACCAACAACCCATCTCTCAGGCATTATCTCAAACATCTGATGCATATAAATAACCACACCCAGGCCTCCATTGTCACGCCCACCCTACCCCCACATCAGTCCTCCAAACCTCATCCCTTTTCCACCTCAATCCTCAATCCTAAAACCTTAAACCCACAACCAAAAAAAAAAAAGTAAAGTGAAGGATTGCAGAGAGAAAGAAAACGAAACAGTGAAACCATAGAGAGTGAGAATACACCTCTGTCGCCGCACTTCCGCCGCTATCCACTACGCCGTCGCACACCTCCGTTTCCTTCAACCATCAACGCTAACACCAGACTTCTCCCTGGTTCACTGTTAGCAAAAAAAAAAGTGAAATTAGAGAAAATGTAGTAATATTCTTATGTTATATTAAATGTTTGATATAGGTGGGAGACTCAAATGATGTGAGTTCAATTAGGTGAGACATTTAGTATGTAAAACATTTACAATTCATAACATTAATCTATTTTATTTATATTTTATCTTTTTTTTTTGGTAATGTCAGAGATACTAAATTTTCTATCAAATAAATGATCAAATGTTCACATGGATGTAAGGTCCACACCCATAAACATATGAGATATTTAGTCATTTATTTAGTAGAAAATTTGAGACTTCTATTTATTTTTCTTAAATCTCTCAACCAAACATAACGTTAAGATTTGAGTCAGGTTATTGGGAGTGAGAATTTAGATTACTAAGGTGTCGTTTGGTAACACTTACGTCTTCAGTTTTCTGCTTACATTTACAAAAATTTTAAAAATTCAAATAAAAACTTGTTTGATAAAATTTTTGATTTATAAATCAGTGGTCTCAATTTATAAATTTGGGTAAAAAATGAAAACACAAAAAATGTGTTTCTGTTTTGAGTTTTAAGTTTTTTTTTTTATCACCCAACATTAGCGACCACCCGTTACTATTCTACACCACCGTCTTCCGCCACCACCACTCACCACCCACCCGCCACCACCACCCACCAGCCACCCACCTGCCACTCACTAACCACCACCACCACCACCACCCCACCACCCACCTACCATCCACCCGCTACCACCCACCACCCGCCACTACCATCACCACCCGCCACCACCACCCGCCACCTACTTGCCACTACCACTCACCACCACATGCCACCACCACCACCACCACACCACCACCACTAGCCACCTACCACCTACCGGCCGCCGGCCACCACCACCCACCACCACGACCATCACCCCATCACCCAACCGCCACCCATCTACACCACCACCACCCACTCACTACCGCCCTCACCACCGTCACCACCCACCCACCCACCACTACCACCACCCGCCACCTATCCACCACCACCTGCCATCCCCACCCACTTTGCCACCGCCACCCACCTACCACACCACCCACCACCCGCCACCACCACCACCACCCACCACCAACCACCACCACCCCACATTGCTTACCAACCCACCACCCCCACTGTCACCCACCACTCTGCCACCACATCCCACCATCCACCCAGCCACCACCACCCACTCGCTACCACCCCGTCACTGTACCCACCACCCACCCAGCCACCACCACCCGCCACACCCACCACACCCGCCACCCCACCACCTGCCACCACACCCACCACCCACCACCCGTCACCACTACCCACTCGTTACCACCCGCCACCGTCACCCTCACCGTCAGCCTACCCATCCACCACCACCATCCGCCACCACCCGCCATCCGCCACCCACCTGTCGCCCACCCACCACCCGCCACCACCACCACCACAACCCATCGCTACCACCCACCACCGGCCACCCGAGCCTACCAGTCACCCACTACCACCACCACCACCACCCACCCTGCCACCAGCTAACCCACCAGCCCACCATCAACCACTTCTCCGACCACCGTTCTTCGCCACACCTTGTCATTTCTCACTCTTTTTTTATATTTTTAAAATTTTTTAAACATTTTGTCAATTACCAAACGCGTTTGTAATTTATGTTTTTCTAAAAATAAATAAAAAATAAATAAAAACTAGTTTATAAATTTTTGTAAATAGAAATCGAAAACGTAAACGTTACCAAACACACCCTAAAGTTACAAGATTTTATTTATTATTATTGTATTTTTAGGATTGATATAAGTAAAATCTGTCAATTGACCTACAGGTGGAATAACGATGGGAAGAAATTCTAATGCAATTTAAAATTTCAAGGGGCATACAAAACTATGTAAAATAAGAATTATTTGGTAGAAAAGAGGGTGATCAGGAAAATAAATTATTGCAATCTAATCAATGTAATCACCATAAATAATTCAGGCTTTCCCAATTAATTTTTTGTGACTCTCGTAACTGAAAAATTGGAAGATTAATATTTGCTAGAGACTACAATTAATTCTCATTACTTTAAAATAGAGTTTTTTTGAATTTTTTTTTCTGTGAGATACTCAATCCCCTATGCAGTAATCTTTTTAAGAAAATTACTATTTCTTGTAATGAGTTGTAGTAAAATTTGCTAATGTGCCTAAAGAATGAAGATATCAAAAAAATAAAATGTATTATCATCACATTTGGTTTTTGGATGGAGAAGAGTTCCTACTTGTATTGGTAAGCTCAAACATCAGTATCAGGTGATTCGTGAATTGTAATGAATTGTATTCATGATCATATTTTAATCATATAATCTGTATGGAAAATTTTCCGACCACACTGCCAACTCAGTAATTCAGCTAGAGAGCACTGGCAGAATAGATGACACCTGACTGACCTGCAACAGAAATATAAGAATCTCGCGGTGGTTCGTCCATCCGGGGGCACTCCGACGATCAAGTTAGTATATCTCTCAAAGATAATCAATTATTCAACTCACAAGCTTGAGCCTAAAAAGTATGCCTTAGACCCATGAGGGTGCCTCTTTTTTATAGCCAACATAAACCTAATCCCAATAGAAGCCTAACTTCTATGGACTCAGGATTACTGCTAATCTTGGACTCCCAGTAAGATTAGGATAAACTCTCTAAGAGTCTTATCTTAATACAAACTGAAGTCTTCTCTCATTCTAGGACTCTTGTCCCTCATCCAGGTTGAGTTCCCTTTTCATTCTAGGACTCTTGTCCCTTATCCACTTATCTCGGATTCCGATATCTTCGGAGATAACCTCGGCCTTGCCGAGATCACCTCGGCGTCACGACCAGGACACGTGGCACCTCGGCTGACACGTCGGCGTCACCTTGCCACGCGTTGGTACTCAGAAAATATATCCCCACAACTGCCCCTAGGTTCTATTACGTTGGCATTCTGAGGTGATGGAACCTACATTGTTCGTTCATCTGTGCCCCTCTGTCCGAGATCAAACTCACCGACCTTAAAGTTCCCTGGACTTTACTGTCCACTGGTGTCAAGAATCAAGTTTCATGCTTTCCAAGCTGCTTGAAATCGCACCTCCTAGCCGAGGTTCTGGTTCCATTAATTTGTAAACTCCAAGAGCTTTGCAACTGCTCTACTTACACTCTCTGGTGAGTTCCCGATTTCCAGTCATCTATTTGACTCCGGCGATTTTCATATCGGCGTTCATTTCACTTGGTAGGTTCATAAACTCTTTACTTGCTATTAAGCTCAATCTTTCATAACTCTTCTGAATCTGTTTACTTGCCATCTGTTGCCTTCTACTTTCGTCTGTCTTCAAGTTTTGAATTGTTTGAATGCCTGGCACTGTTCTTGTCATATCCGCTTTCTGTTGCTAGCATCGTGTGTGGGTCATTACTTTTTTGTTCTTCACATACTTACTTAGTGCCTGTGCACTTGGCTTTATTCTTGAACTTTGTCGTCTTCTTGACTATTTTTCTCTTTTTTCATTCAATCCTCTGAATTTTTCTTTTTCTAGCTCTTTTGCTTAAATCCGTCATTGTTCAAAGCTTTCAAGCTTCTGCAACTGTCTTCGTTCCTTTCCTCCGGTGAAGCTTACGTCATTCTGTCATTGTCGTCAGACTTCGACAATTCTCATTCCGATTTTCCTCTTTCTGTTAGCTACTGTTCCTCCTGGTTTTATTTCTTGTTGTTTTCCAAGAAGCTTTGCTTCATTGTTAATCACCATTGCTGTTTTACCCGTTGTTTTCAAATCATCTTCTTGAATACATACTGTTCATACATCTGTTGATTTTTGCCATTGTTCTTGGCTTGACACACTTGTGCAATCTTTTTGTCTTGATTTCCTGATAGCTTCATCACCATTCTTGATTACGAATTACATTCTTGTTTCTGTTTTCTGTGTCTTTTTCCAGATTCTTGCTTTCAATCCTTGCTTTCAAACTCCGAGGTGCCAATCGCCGAGAATAGCCTTGATCAAACTCTTCGAGAGATCGATGCTGAGCTCGAGGCCGAGAAGGTTGCTAAGAAGTCTTCCCAACTGTCTTCTATATCCTGCCATTGATGCCGAGTAGTTTTG